TTAAAACAGACCATTTGAGAACAAAACAAGGAAGACCTTTTCATACAATGTCTCAAGATGAATAAATCCTGTGAGGCTGGGCTGGGAAGAGGGGAGAGTGTTGATGGGCAGGGGGTGGACCGTCCCGGACACCGAGGGGAGCCGTGCACACCCACCTCCTGCACGCCGACTGCCGGGCGCTGAGCTGCGCATTCACCAGCGACCCTGGGTGCGGCTGCACGTGTTACCCCCTCCTAGAGATGAGGCTCGGGGGGTGCCCCCGCCCAGCATCATCAAGCCAGTGGGTTAAAGACCAGGTGGCTGGGCCCCAATCTACTCTGTCACCAGCTTTCTCTGACCCTTACAGGGATACTGGGCTTTCCCCCCTTATTTTTCTTAAGTTAAGGCCTTAGAGGGTGTTTTTGGAGCATCCACTGGAGATTGTGTTTAAGATCAAGGTGGAGAGCGGCAGGCGAAGGTCAAGCCCGAGTCCTTATCCTGGGTCGGAGGTTCTAACCTTGGCAGCACATCGGAATCACCAGGCTCTATCGGCGGGGAATCCAGTCAGGGTTTCTGGGGCGGGACCCAGGCGGCAGGAATTGTCGTAAGCGCTGTGCGTGGAATGCCTGTCCTAGAGAGATGGCCTCTGCCTCCATGAAGGGGTTAGGCTGACACTATTTATTAATGGCATTCAAGGTGGAAATGTAGTAACTGGGGACGTGTGACTGTCCTTTGAGGGGACCCCTGCTGCTGTTCCAGCAGCTGCGTCCTGGGTGGCTCTGCAATTATTTAAACAAGTGAAAAAATATAAACGAAACCCAAGAATTGATACTAATCAGAAAAAAACGTCTTAAGCAAAAGCATTAAAAGATAATTTTTGTTAAGTAATGAACACTCGTAAAACAGCAATGAAATGGTATTAAAATGTCTGTGATTACTTATTTCTCAGCATTCGTCTGATAACTCAAGCAGCATGAAGCCATAGTTGCACTTTAAAAAAAGACAAGAAAATAGCTATTCATTTAGTCAACAGAAGGTTCATTTCCTTATTAAGATCGCTAGTGTCATTGCTTTTCACCAAGGCAGGTGTCAACACAGGCGTCTTCGTGCTGAGGTGGTGTCTCGGCTCCTGCCTGGGGTCCCAGGAGCAAGCCCTGGGGTCCTTCTGGGAGGGGCCTCAGGAGGGGCTGTGCGGCCCCGCCCCTCCGCCTGGGTCACCACCAAGGCCGGAGACTGCATGTTGGTGCGCGGTGGCTGCTGGGTTTGGGCACGTTCTGGAGGCCTGGTGTTCTGAGGCTGGGGCCGTGTGCAGGGAATGATCGCTGGGCCTGGGGACAGACGCCACATGTGTGGGCGTTGCATTCTCAGGGCTGGACCCGTCTGCTGGGGGTCCTGCTGGGAGCAGTGTGGTCTCTCTCCCTGCTGGCCCTGTTCTTCCTGCAGGGAGGGCGTGTGGCCTGGGGGAATGCCAGGGGGGCCAAGCAGGGCCACAGACAGAAGAGGGTCCTGTCCCCTGTCCTCTGCCTATTGCACTGTATTCCATAGAAAATAAACACGTTTTTACTGTCTGTGTATTGCTATGCTATGGCATTCCAGGGACCGGCAGGCTGCAGAGAGGGCTACTCTGTCACGGACCCAGCAGAATTCATCCAGGGGCAGCCTGTTGGTCATGATCTCTGGGGCTCCCCTCTGGAGGCGTTAGCAGTGCCCCTCTGTCTCATGCTTACACAGTACTGTGAACATGAAATTAAAAGGAAAAAACAAAAGAAGAGATGGGTAGAAAATCCCAGGGCTTTCTGGAGTTGTTTGGCAATAATTCATGCTGTGTAGCACACACAGGCATGCGCGCCTGTGCGTCCGCCCCCGCCAGCCCTGCCGTTCTCTGCACCTGCACGCGACGGGCCCAGGAAGCTCACAGGTGGTTGTTCTTGGAGAGGTAGGCGACGAGGGCCACGGCCACACCCACGTAGATGCCGGTTCCGATCGTGATGGACAGCACGGCCAGGAACAGGGCCCGCCGGGAGCTGGTGCTGGCCTGGTGGAAGTCCCCTTTGGCCACAGCTTTGTTCGTCTGCAGGGTCGGAGGGGAAGGAGGCAGAGGAAAGAGGGAGTCACCACGCGCCGGTCAGAGCAGATGACGCGAGAGCTGGGCACCCCTCCAGTGCCCTTCCAACCTTGTCTTAACTGCTTCCGGAGGGGGACGCCCAGGGGCCGGTGTGCTGCCCTGCGACGGCACAGAGCTCTAGCTGGCAAGCAGGGGCCGGGGCTGCTGCTTGTCACCCTGCAAGGCAGTCAAAGCTCAAAGGCCCCGGGACACCCCTGTCAGCAGTGGCCCAGCTCGGTGCCACCAGTGTGGGGCCTGAGGTCTGGGGCACCAGGACTTGAGGGATGGGATAGATATTTCACCTCCAGTGCCCCTATTTCTACCCCCAAATGGCATTTTCTTATATTTGAGTATCACAGTTAAACAGAATACGTTCACGCTTACCTTATTTAATCTTTACAACATGGTAGGGGTGTGGGGAAGGAACTTAAGAGTTCTCGCTCCCCAGAGAGGGAACTGTGGCATGAGATCATTCAATTGACTGCAGGATACTTGAGATTTCACCCTTTGGGGGGTCTGTGGGGCCAGGCACTCCTCCTTCCTGTGGGCATTACTCAAACTGAAAAGGGCCAGGCCCTCTGCGGTGGGCCACAGAGGGCCAGACGCACGCAGAGCCCTCCCGGCCTGGGGCTGGGGAGACCTGGGGAGATCTGGGGCTCTGTGTCAGGCCCAGGCGGGTTCCCGGCCGGCTTGGTGGCCCCCCTCTGTCTTCCCTGACTTCCGGATCTTGAAGGGCCATTCTTTTTGCCTTCCTCCAGTGTTTGGGCTTGTAAGTGAGCTTGGGCGCTCAGCATGGGCAATTCTTGATGAAGCAGAGCTTAGGGGTGCGGAGTGGGAAGCCTCCTAGGACGGTCATAATTAATCACGTCTTGATTAGCAGAATCTCATTTTACCCGGCAGCACTCCAAATACCCGGAAGGCCTCCAGTATAACTCACTGTAGTCGCCTGTCCCTGCCCAGCAGCCACCCCTCTGTCAGAACGGGTCCGCTGCTCTCTCTGCGGTGGGTGGGCACCAGCCGAGCGGCATCCCCCGCCTCTGCTGCAGGCCTGGAGCACACACAGATGGAGCCGGCCACGCGCGCCCGCCCCTGCCCCCCGAGCACAGGCCCTGCAGGGACTGCCTGTGTCCTGGCAGGGCCTGTCTCATCAGGCTTCACGTGGTTCAGCAGCGATGTGTAGCGGTCACCCTCCCAGCCCGACTGTAAACTCCCCGGGCAGGACCACGCCCCCCTTGTCCACGGGGCCTCCCCAGAGCCTGGGCCCCTGCCCTGGAGGATGGTCAGAGCTCAGGAGACTCTCCATGAATGACCAGTGAGTGGCTGTACAAGACCCTCTCCGTCCAAGTGCTCCCAGGTGGTCCTGGGCTCCCGGGGTCCTTGTGAGGAGGGCAGTGGTGCCGGGCAGCCTTGGCCCGAGCTCCAGCCGACCCCACAGACCCCTTCCCGCGGGCTCCGAGCACACCAAGCACCTGTGCCCCCATCCCCGGGAGCCGGAGTGTCTTTGGGACCCAAGCTGCCCCTCCACTCTCACAGACCAAGCTGGGGGCTTCGGCCAGCACTGCTGTGTGGTTCTAGGGCGGCAGTTCCCAGAGCCTCAGGAAGCATGTTGTGATAGGGACCCTATTGGCCAAGGTGTGTCAGAGACGCAACAGATGGAGCCTCGTCGGCACAGGGGCCACTCCTCGGCAGGCTGTTCAGCACCCACTTATCACAGAAGTCCCAGGGGGTAAGGATGCCGTTACCTTCCACAGACTGGGCGCCGTGGTCTGACAAGGGACCCCTGGCAGGCATCCATCAGAAAATGTTCCACCTGCTACAAACCAGCCTGCTCGTCCCTTTGAGGGGGTGTCACCGCCAAGAAATGCTTCCGGCCCGACAGTGTGCGGACAGAAGCCGCAGGCTCTCGCATGCGCTTCCCTGAGAGGGGCTCTCGCCAGGGCCCGTGGGTCCAGGCACCCCTGGGCCAGGCCTTGCGCACGCGAGTTTTCGTGAGGAGAGCCCACCCTCTCACTGACTCCCAAAGCACCGCGTCTCCTGGGAGGGGCTTCTCTGCTGGAATGAGCAGATGCCCTTTGCTTGTCCTAATCGGGAAGCAGACTCGTCGACACCCTGGTCTGCCCATGCAGCTCATGGGGTGCAGGTGAGCATCTGCAGGCACGCCGAGCCTGTGGGTCTCGTGTGCCAGGAGCTTCGAAGTCCCGGTGCCCGGGCCAGACTCCTGGCCAGGTGCGTCAGACGCTCGGGGCTGGGCCTTGTGCCTTTTGAGCTCCCAGGTGATTCCAAGGAGCAGAAAAGGTGAGACCTGACTGGCCAACGGGCCTGGTGTGCCTAGGACTGAGGGGATTCCGGGGACTTGGCCCTTTGGTGTAAAATGGGGACGGTTCAGGCAAACTGGGATGAGACCCACTGCTCGGCAGGGAGGACGCCCAGGTCTGGCCACATGGGGTCCCGGCGACCTGTATCTTTGGGCAGAATTCTTTTCACATCGCAGTGGTGGGAGGGAAGGAGGTGGGCAAGGGACGTGCCCGCCCGAGGTGCACCTGGTGTCCAGGCCCGGCAGCGTGCGCCCTGAAGGCCTGTCTGACTGGTGTGCAAAGCCCAGCTTTGTCTCCCTCACGCGGCTGTGCGCTTCGTACTCGAGTGGCAAGCCACCCAGAGCAGGGACCTTTTGTTTTAGGTAGTGGGGTGCTGCCTCCAAACACAGTCCCCCGGACGGGTTCGTAGGAGCCCCTGGGGTTTATGGTTTGCTGGCATGCTCCTTCCTGATCGCTGCCTTTCTGATGGTGGCATCGGCTAACCCCCGTTTATGTGGTGGGGGCCCAGCCTCGATCCCGGTCTGTCCTGGGAAATGCCTTCTGCTGTGGGAGGTGAGGTGTGTTACCCGCCTCTTGCCCTTTGTTCTGAGACATTCAGATAATGTCTTTTAAGTGGCCCTGGGCTGTTAAGGGGCCCCTGGCCCCCCCAACCTGTCCGCGCCTCTCCCTCCTTCTGAATGCCACCCGCAGCCGGTCCTTCCCGGCAGGCCTGCTCACGGCCCCCTGCAGAGCCTGCCTGGCTCCCCCGTCCTGCGGCAGGTGCAGCTGGCTGACCCTGAGCCCTGAGCCTGCCCGTGCTCATCTCCCGCAGCCGGGTGGCCTGCCACTGAGCCCCTGCACCCCATCATGGGGTAGCAGGTGCTCCCAGTGAGGCTTCGCTCTGTGAGGCCTCAAATCAAATGCTCCACTAGCTTCAAAAGGGGAAGAAGGAGTGTCCCCATCTGGGCAGTGGGCCCGCAGGGCAGTGAGGTTGAAACGGGCTGCGGGAAGCCCTCAGCAGGATCTGGATAGCAGGCAGGTGGTCAGGGGGCATCTCTGCACTGCCTCCTGCCCTTTGCCTTCTAGACCCACGCCCCTTCTGCATCTCCCTGGGGGGAGTGTGTGTTCCTGCCACTGCACAGGGAGCTGTCGGTCCTGCTGGGAGCTGCACGCAGGTCCACTGGACACCAGCAATGGCCCCTGCGGACCCTCATAAGAAGTGATTCCTTTTCCCCAAAGGTCATCTACTAGAATGCTTCTAACAGGAATCACGACAGCCCCAGGCGGGGCACCAGCCAAGCCGCCCAGCAGCAGTGACAAGCATAAAAATGACAGTGTCCCCTAACGGTCAGGAAATAAACCTCAGAAACGGGACGTCGGCGGAAGTCTATCCACATAAAGATCAAAAGGGGCGCAAACCACCTGTTGGCAGAGAGGCAGGGGAGGGATGTGTTTGGGAAGGGTGCTACCAGAAGAAAGTGTAGCTAAAAAAACTTCTCTCGCACCCCAAGGTAATTTTAGAAATAATTCTACCCAAAATTAAATGAACAGATAAGAACTATTCATAAAGAATGAGAAAGTCATTTCCCGAAATGAGTGAAATCTGATATGATGACCAGAGAAGGAAAGAGAAAAGGGAAGAGGGCGCAGATTCGTGTAAACACGACGCACGGCTGTGGGGTGTCACTGCTTCCCCTGCACCCCGCTCTCTCCTCTTCCTACTCCAACTGCAGGGAAAGGCCCCTGGGGTCGGGGTCTCCACCCCGTGCTGCCCGCCCCAGGGCACTTGCAGCCCGGTGGTTCTCATGCCTGCCCAGCAGCGGGAAGGGCACTCGCTCCATGGACGAGGGACCCAGGGTGGCCAGCAGCCGCTCCCAGGGCAGCAGGCTCAGGGCAGAAGCATTTCCACGCACACGGGGCCCCTTGGGGCATCCCTGTGGCCGATGATCACAGGTCCTCCACAGGCCGATCAGGACGATATAAATCAGGAAACCTCCAGGGAAATACTTGTGACCCCGGCTCCTCGAGGGGGCAAGCCTGTCGGGCTCTGCAGAGCACCCGGAGGGCTGGGCCACCTAAGCGTGGGTGTGACAGAGGGCGCGGGACCCGCTGCCCCCCAGGGGTCCCGGAGAGCAGGGAGGGGAGCCTGCGGAGGGCCAGCGCAGCGGGGGGCGGGCAGCCGTGGGGCAGAGCTTGCCCGGCCGTGGGGTGGCCTTCGAGCTCTCGGGATGTGCCCAGCGTGACTGGAACTCAGTCCTATGCTCTGTGACCTTGATCGGTGTGACCGTGGACACCCAGAGGCGGCTGGGCCACCCTACTGACCAGTGGGAATCCAGGAGGAATCGGGGCAGGAGGTCCCACAGGAGGGAGAGTAAGGAGAGGGGCGCCCGGGGTGCACCAAGGGGGGTGAGACGCCTGAAGCGGAGGCTCGGGGTGTCAGCCGGGCTGCGCCCTGCAGGCGTCCAGGGAAGGAGGCGCCGCACACACCCGCTTTGGCGGATCTATGTGTGAATTTCCTTTAACCCCCATTCCGTCCAGTGCCGGAGGAGACATGGAGGTGTCTGGGGTGACCGGCGAGAAGGCAGCCCTGGAAATCTACAGATTACTTGGGGGGCCTTTGATGCCCACACCTCTGCTTCCTGGGGTCTCGGGGTCCTGGGGCCCCCACAGCGGGAGCTCCCACGGGAAGGGGCGCGGCCTCTGCCCCCCGCTGCCCCCCCTGCAGGTGAGCCCCTCTCCTCCAGATGACCCGAGATGGTCCCAGCATCCGGGCTCTGGTTCCTCCCAGGTGGCCGGGAGCCCCGGGCTGACGCCTCTCTTAGCTCTGGACTGAGTTTCCCACAAGCTCTCGTCAAAGCCTCCATTTTTTTGGCTGGAAAACACCCACTGCTGTTTGAGGCTCTGGAATGATCGTGATTTTCTGAGCGAGCTCCCTGCCGCTCTGTGTTCCTTATCGTCACCAGTTAAAGTCAGATGCTGCCATTCCATGTCGGCCTGACCCACTCGGTCTTCTTGCTGAGGGGCTGGATCCCAGCCCAGCGGCAGGGCCTTAGGAGAGGCCAGCACCAGACCCCAGCCTCTGACGCAGGTGACAGGCTCCTGGGACACGTGCAGCCTCCAGGGCCACCTCTCCAGATGCTTAGAGCTCTTTGGTGCTTCATAGCTCATGTTTCCTCCAGCACCAGTACCTGTCTGGCTGGATTACATTTCTTTGTATTATTGCAAAGGTTATTTCCATTATTTATTGCCGTCTACATTTCGATGCACCGGCAAGGTGCTCAGAACTGTACCTGGAGAAGAGAAGGCACAGGGTAATATTCTGAACGGGAACAAAGAGATAATTGAGAGATAAACCGCAAGGACACGGGTGACCTCACACTCAACCCAGCAGGGGTTCCCCCTTACGTTCCCCCTTAAAATTCTATTTTAAGTTATTCAAAAAATAGATCTGTTGTTGTTTAGGTCTAAATGGCAGAAGGAGCTCAGTTATGAGACAAGTGTACCCACTGTGTTTGGGTAAAAGCTGGCTCAGGCATGGCCCGCCCAGGTGCTGGCATGGGGTCTGGCCTTCGCAGAGCCGCCCACCTGTCCTTGGTCTGGACGCCACATTTGGGGGAGGCGGAATGTCAGAGGGTCCTTGGCACCAAGGTCACTTCTTCTGGGGGGGTCTCCTGTCACAGGGAACGCAAATGTAAGAGCATAAACATGCAGAGATGGAGGCTGGGTGCCCGGCTGTGGGGGATTCGGTGCTGCTGTCCTCGCCTGTTCTCCGGGTGAACTTAGAGAAGCTGCCAACCCCCCAGGCCGCTTCGCTCTGGACACCTTTCCCCCGCAGCCCAGCCGAGGCCCCACTCCTTCCCTCTCCCACATGCCAGGGAGCAGCCGCTGGCTTTGCCCACACACTGGGGTCCTCTTCCCTTGAGGGGGGTCGGGACTGAGACACAGCTCTTACACGGGGAGCCCTGGGGAGGCCGTGAGGCCTCCCCCGAGTCCTGCCACCTGGTGCCTGACTGCCCCCTCCCTGCCCAGGCAGGGCCACACCCCCAGAGCTCCTCTGTTCCCTCCAGCCAGGGCCACCCCCGCTGCTCCTGTCCTCTCCTGGGCGCCACAGCGCCCAGAATGCAGGGTGTTAGGGGGTAATAATAGCCATAAAAGGTGCTATGACTAAGTCACAATTAGGACAGAATCAAAGGGACTGAATATTGTCGCCCTCCCCATTTCTCAAATGTGAACAGCTGTAAAGGGCCATACATTTTGCTTTCCTGTGTCTTTCATTTTTCTTAAAAATTGTTTGTATATAAATATATACGTATGTGTATATATGTAGAAGAGAGACACACACATATATACCGTATATGTATTATACATACACCTACATACACACATGCATATGTCAAGCATAACATCTGTAGGGAACATGCACAACTCCTAAATGTACAGCTTGGGGAATTTTCAGAATGTGCACACACCCGTGGGGCCAGCATCAGAACCATGCCACCACCTGGAAACCTTCTCTGCCCCCTGGCTGTCACCGTCCCTGGCAGTAGTCACTGTCCTGACTTAAAACAGCTCATGTTAGCTTTGCCTGCCTTGACCCCCCTGCAGCAGATCCTCGGTACAGAAGCCAGCGTATGGCTTCCTTCACTCTGTGAGATTCGTCCCTGTTGTATGTAATTGTAGATCATTTATTCTCTAGGGTCCTTTGTGTGAATATAATGAGTATATTTGGCCGTTGTCCAGTGCACGGGCACTTGGGTATTTATTCTCCAGTTTCAGGCCATTATGAATAGGGCTGCCACGATCATTCTAGTACTCTTTTTTGAAGAGCATATATACTTATGTTTGTTGGTATGCAGCTACGAGTTGAGTTGTTGATAATAGAGTCACCCTATGGCTGGCACCATATGAAACACGGACAGGTAGCTTTTGCTACCTGCCTTTGTCCTTCGGTCTGTTCACATGTGTGTGGCACCTATGCTGTGTGTAGTGCATCCTCCGGGTGCTGCGCCCAGACACCCTCTTCAAGGCCAGAAGGACCCCACCCCCCAGATGCAGGAAGGACTGGCTGCTGACGGCTTACAGTGGCATCCCTCTGGGACGCTGCCTTCAGCCACAGGGAACTGCTGGGTTCACGGGTTCCCGCCAGGGCTGGCTGGTACGGAGGGGAGATTCTCCAGAGAGCTGCCTGTAGGGTTGCCTGGGGCCCTGGTGGCAACATGCGGTTTCCTATTGCATTCCAGGCCACAGTCTAGGTTATTCATGGGATCCAGTATATTTATATGTATATATGTAAAATAACGCTCGACTAAAATTGCTTTCAAAATATGTTTGAGAAGTTCTTTTCCATAGTAATGAAAGCATCCTATTTGTAGTGTGGGTCCCTATGCACCAGTTGGGTCCCCCTGTGACCTGGGAACAGTGAGGGCCCAGTGTTGGGGGTTGGTGGGGGGCAGCTGAATAGACTGGTGGTCTTCATGTGAATTGTTTCATGGATGTTAAAAACAGCAGCAGGAGCTAAGACATTTCAGGAGGGTTGGGAAATACTGCCAGTGGAACATTGAGATGCAGAAAGTCAAATCTCACCCAATTTTAAATAATGCCCCCCCCCGCCCCCATAAGTAGGTGTGCTTGGCACGCGGTGCATGGAGGTGACTTCTCCTCTTCTTCTAATGACCCAGGTGTCACTAGAGATGGCCCTCTTTTACTCTAGATGTAGAGAATTTGTGTTCTCTCTCTTTTTTCTTGGTTGGCTGGATTAGAGGTTTATTGATCTTATTGATCTTTTCATATTTTATTTATTTTCTTTACAAATCTTAAAAAAAAACCCTGACTTTTAATTTTGTTGATTTTTCTCTGTTGTCCTTGTTAGTTTTTCTTCTCTAATTTTAATTACTTCCCTCATTCTTTTTGCCTTTTTATTTCTCTAATTTCTGAAGGTGGAAGCTTAGGTAATCAATTTTAGATCTTCTTTTTTTTTTTTCTAATATATGCACTTAATGCTACAAATTTCCCTGTAAACACTGCTTTTACTACATCCCACAAATTTTAAAAATTTTATTCTCATTCTTTGTTTAGTTTGGAGTATTTTTTAATTTCCTTTGAGACTTCTTCTTTGACCCATGGGTTATTGAGAAGTGTGTATTTTTTAAAGTTCCAAATATCTGGGAAACCCCCAGATATCTTTGTTATTGGGTTCTATTTAATTCCCGTATAGTCTAGAATGTACTCTGTATTTTTTCTAGTCTTTAAAACAGTTTAATAAGGATTGTTTTGTGGCCTGAAATATGGTCTGCCTTGGTGACTGTCCCATGTGCAACCGAGGAGGATGCGTGCTGTGCTGGACGGAGTGGTCTTATCATGTCGGTCAAGCTGGCTGACGGTGTTTGGGCCGCCCACGTGTCCACTGATTTTCTCTCCTGGTGGGTCAAGTGCTGACAAGGGTGTCAGAGTTCTCAACTACGATTGGGTCTGTTTCTATCCACCTCACATTTTGACTCTCTGGCTAAGGGCATACACATTTAGGATTGTTCTATTTTTTTGGAGAGTTGACCCCTTTAAATTATGGGATGTACCTCTTTATCTGGGATAATCTCCCTCGTTTTGAAGTTGGCTTTGCCTGAAGTTGATGTAGGTCCTCCGCCTTTGTCTTGGTCTGTGTTAGCGTGGCAGGTTTATCCATCTTCACTTTTCATATCTACTTTTAATCTGTCTTGGTCTTTACATTTCAAGCAGATTTCTTTGAATCTAGACAGTATATAGTTTATACTGTAGATAGCATATACTTGGGTCTTATTTTTTTTAACCAGTCTGACAATCCCTGTTTTTAAACTGGTTTGTTTAGACCACTTACATATAAGTGATTATTAATATAATTGGATTAATATCTATCATCTTTGCATATTTGTTGCATTTATTGTTTTTCTCCCTCTTTTAAAATCAGCCCTCTCTGATTTTAACTGACCATTTTATATGATTCCATTCAATAGCCTCTATTGATGTACTTTCATACTTTTTTTAGAAAGTATATATACAGTGGTCGTCCAGGCTTTACAGTTTAAAGTCACATTTATTCCTTCTTTGACACTCTTTTTTTCTCATGTAGATCCAATTTTCTGACCTATGCCATTTTTCTACTACCTGAAGAACTGTAAAATTTCTTACTAGGGAAAAATAGAATTTCCTATGGCCAGGGTGCTCTCCTGACCCTGGACCACTTGGCGATGTAATCGCCCTACTGCTGGGCTGCTGCTCCCACACCCGCAGGCAATAAGCTATTACTGACTGAGTCACTATGTCAAGAGCTCTGCCCGCTGCTCTGGGCGGAGGCAGAGACAGAGGTGGATTTCGGACCTGCAGAATTCTGGGTGCGGACATGATCCTAGTGCCCGACCTACTGCTGGGAGAATAAAGCCCGCTATGAACATTCCTTTGTCATTTCTTGGTCTCACTAAACCCACAGTGAACTTGCCCAGGGCTGAAATCCTCAGGCAAGACCCAGATTCAGGTCTGCTGGCAATGAATCCATTCAGTTGCTTGCGTGAGACAGAATTCATTTATCCTTGACTTTTGGAGGTTATTCTCACTGGATACACAGTTTCAGTTTGGCAGCTTCTGTTTATCTGTTTTATTGTTTCAACACTTTACAGATTGCACCCAGTTACATCCTTAGCTGCATGAGTTCTGATGAGAAGCCCGCCACAGTTTTTATCACTGTTTCTCTGTATGTGTTTTATTTCCCTTTGGGCATCTTTAAGATTTTTCTCTTGGTTTTCAAATTTCTACAGCTGACATAGGATATATCTATGTTTCTGTTGTTATTTGTTCTTGGTTTCTATTCAGTTCGGCTCGGAGGGGTCTCCACTTTTGGAACAGCGTTTTGGTGTCTGTCACGAATACTGGAAAACTCCTCACCAGTATTTCTTCCGCAGCCCCTTCCTTTGTGTTCCAGTTGCAGGTCACAGCGTTTCGACGGCCCCACAACTCGTACACATTCTGTTCTTTTTCTCCCCCCACTTGTTCTTCTCTTCGTGCTTTAGTTTTAGGAAAATTTTTTGACCTATCTTCAAGGTCACCAGGTTTTTCTTCAGTGGTTTCAAATCGACCAAGAAAAACAGTCTTCATTTCTATTTTTGTTTCTCACTCCAAGCATTCCTTTTACCAGTTTTTAATCTCTCTGCGGACGTTACCCATATATTCTTGCATGTTGTCTGTCTGTTCCGTTAGAGACTTTGACATGCTGTTCACAGTTGTTTTAAATTCCCTGATAATTCCAACTAACATTGGAGTCAAA